GACAACAAGAGACAGGTGGAGCTATGCTTCCCTAGCATGTGGGGATGGAGATCTGCTGGGGCATTAGAAGGGAGAATGAAAAGTGGGTGCTGCTATCAGCATAACCAGGCCCAGTCACAGGGGGACCATGGAGCTTAGTATCAAGCCTCTTCCCATCCCTGCTTTCCCACTGGTTTGAAGGACATCCCCTCCCTTGCAACCCTAAAATCTTCCCATTCCTGCTGCCCATCAGGCTACAAAGTCCAAAGTGTTGTTTCCAGAAGCTTCTGTGGATTCATTTGTGATATTAATCCCCTGGATTCTGGAGACAAGATAGAGCTGATCCTGCAGCATGACCTGGCATAGCTCAGGCAACACTGACCCTGAGCAGACACACTTAGAAGCTTTATGACAATTGGTGCTGGTCAGATCGCTGGAAGGGCCTGTGTGCAGTGGGTGGGCTGCTAAGGGCTTCTTGAATGGGATGGAACATAATCAAAGAGACTGGGAAAACACAGTGAGTCCAATGGACTAGGAAAAGGGTAATGGGGATAAATGTCAAGTCTCGCCCTTGGGTCCAAAAAACTCCACTTCCCAAGTACAAGATGCTGGGGGTTGAGGAATTGGGATTAAATACTAGTTTGCATGAGAAACCCCCTTGGTTTTTCACTCCAGTTAAGACAGTGGCTACACCAAGATGAGGCTGCATGAAGAGGCTGGCAGTCAGGATGAAGGGCCAACAGGCCACACTGGGGTGTTATGTTCTAGGCTCCTCACTGGGGAAAGATTTTAATTAGCTGGCAAAAGTTCAGAGGAGGCTACCCAGAATGGGAAATGGGCTGAGTTCACATCACACAGGACTTGCTGAAGGAAACTGAGGATATCTAACCTAAGGAAGACAAGAAGACTTGGGGACTCATGCTAAAATCTCCCCCAGTGTTTGAGAGGCTGTCACAAGGAAGAGGAATCAGGTTCGTTCTCCTCATCCCCAGATGGCAGAGCCAAGAGCAGAGGGTCAGAAAGTGGGAAACAAAGCTGCCAAAGGACAAGAGTTGTCCCAGGGTGGCAGGGGCTGCTTGGGAAGTGATAGCTTCCCCTTCATCGCAGGCCTTGACACAAGGTCTGGGGGACCAAGGGTTGGGAGGGTTGTGATCGGGGTTCTTGGTCAGGCTTGGGTGGGACAAGTTGCTTCTGAAGACTAGTCCAGTCCCAAGGTTCCAGGACTTACAGTGCTTAGCACAGTAACTAGCACATGGTAAGCACATTCACAATACTGAGTGTTTGATTTATAGATTTTTCATGGAAATGAAAAGAATTATATTGCCCAACATAGGTCCTGCCCATACTTCTCAGTGCAGGCACTGCCCACCGCTCTCAGATCCCTTGCAACAACTTCCATATTCTTTTTTTTTTAGGCAATTGGGGTTAAATGACTTGCCCAGGGTCACATGGCTAGTAAGTGTCAAGTGTTTGGTCTGAGGCTGGATTTGAACTCAGGTCCTCCTGACTTCAGGGCCGGTGCTCTATCTACTGCGCCACCTAGCTGCCCCAACATCCATGTTCTTATGACTCCAAAGCGTGGTGGCATGTAAGTGTACCTGTACTCCTGTAGTTGTCCTTTACACTTAATCGTTCAACAAATGTTATTAAGTGAGCAAACTTTCAAGGGTCACAGAATGATGTCTAGAACTAGAAGGGCCTTAGTCAACAAAGATGTCTAACGTTCATATCAGACCCCAAGAGGGCATCTTCCCACGGGCACAGCCTCCTGCTCAGTCCCGGGAATTTAAAGACAGGGAGTACGCAGACAGATCTGCTCTTGGCTGACCCAGAGTCACAGAATGCAAGATCTGAAGAGGCCTCAGTGGCCTCCACTTCAACCATACACTGACAAGTAGTTGCTTAACTTCTGCTAACAGCCTCCTAGGAAGAGAAACCCAAGGCCTCTCAAGGCAACCCACTCCATTTTGTGAGAGTTCTGATGGTGAGGAAGTCATTCTTGTCACCAGCCAACCAGGAGTGACAAAATATGACCACTGGTGAAAAGCTCGATCCCTTGTTGACTTCTGGCCTGAAGAATTCCTGTATGTTTTCAAGACAAGGCAAGACAGAGGTATCTCCCTGCTCCAGGAGGTCTTCTTGGAACATTTGAACATTCTGAGATCAGATTAAGAATGTGTATGTCTGTGTGTGAGTGTGTGTGTGAAGTGGGTAGGGGTGCACCAATGTGTGTGTGTGACTGTAAGGTAAACTGAGGCAAATTCAGACTCACCACTTTTCCCGAAAGCCCAGCTCCCTGGGGACATCTCAGCAACAATGCGGTGCTGAGCAGCAAAAGAGATCACACAGCTAAGCAACTAGATCACATACACACACACACACACACACACACACACACACATACACATGAAGCAAAACAGATACATGTACACATGCACATGCATGCGCACACACAGAAACATACAGACACACACAGAGACACAGAGAGACACACACGCACACACGTGCACACACACAGAGGCACATACACACACACGAAGCAAAACAGATACATGT